AACAGTGAGCACCAATAAAATGTTCTATTGTACTTATTTTTACATTTGTCCACTATCTTAAGTAATTTAGATCTGACCTAATTTGATTCAGATTTTGGCAGACATTCAAAATGACTTATTGGACCAATTTTAATTTTGCAAAAATAGAATTTAAGTTAGCTACAGGTAAGGGAAATATAAAACAGAGCCATAGATTATTATAGAGTTATGAACAAATAATTACTCTCCTGCTTCTTGAAATAATGAAATATTATATCTTAATCCTTTTAATCACAGTTGAAAAAACAAGAAATTCGAAGATTTCTTGCTTTTTACAAGAAATGTTGAAAATTGTCAAATGAAAGCTTCCTCAAAGACATTTTATGAAAAAATATTTTAAGAGAATAATTCAATTTTTGAAAATATAAATTTCATATGTAATACAAAGTATGCTGATAATAATCATTACAAAAGCACAGGTCTTATTATAAAATTATATGGACATAATACACACATATCCTACTTGAACCATAACAGAGTTGACACTCTGACACTAATAAATTAATTTGGAGCTGCAGTTTGGAGTTGCAGTATTAGGAACTAGTTGTCTAAGTATCTCTTAGGATGAGATTAGGTGGGTGAAATAATTATGAGAACAAAAAAGTGTTTTTTTTGTGTGTGCAATATTGTGATCTCACTCTAAAGAAGATGCCATCATAATACTATTAATAAGGAGTGGAAATGTAATAATATGTTTTTCAAAATCACAAATTAAACATAAATAAATATTTATTTATTCAGTATATCAAAATTAGGTCAAATCAGTTTAAGTGCTTTTCAAATACACTTGTTGAATAAAAAAAGCATGACATTTTCCTTGTAAAAAATTTAAAAAATAAAGAAAAATATTAATAAAAATTAATAGAATTAATCCATAATCCCTCAGATAGGAATAAGCTTCATTACACATATTATACATTTAATTTCAGATTTACTTTATATACATTTTAAAAATTGAAATTAATATACAAGTATGTTTGTGTGCGTGTTACCTGCATTCCATTAATTATCCATTATACCTTTTTTTAGAATTCACTTAATAGTCATTGAAAGCACTCTTTAGAGGCTACTAAGTTGCTCAGTTTTTCATTTTATGCTCATTTTTTATTTAATGAAACCCCGAATATTAGACTTTTGGATTGATTACAATTTTTCAATATTTTAAAAACATTGTAGTAAACATCTCATAAATGTTGAAGGACATCTGATATTATTGCTTTTGAATAAATTCCAGGAGGGAAATTATTTGGCAATATAAATGAATCAACATAGCTAAGGTTTTTTATAAATATTATGAAATTACACTAAAATAGTTTGTACACATTATTTATTCCCATCATACAGATAGGGGGTAGTGATTTTTCCTATACCCTCCAAACTAGAGAATGATGACAGAATCTGTTCAGGGTCTCTTCAACTTCCTTTCCAAAGGCCCTAATATTAAGCAAGTGCTTAGGGTCTTCCTTTAGGTTAGCCTGATCAGGAAAAGATCTCCCATGCATAGTACCACCGACATCCATCACCCCAACCCCCACTGTTTGTACCTACTTCAGTGATTCAAAACTGTATATTGAGGGTGTGAGTGAACAGAGAGTGAGGAGAAGAAAAAGAGGGGGAAAGATAATAGGAACACTGAAGCGTGGGACTGGGGTTTGGACATTTGAATCAGGAAAAGATCTCCCATGCATAGTACCACCGACATCCATCACCCCAACCCCCACTGTTTGTACCTACTTCAGTGATTCAAAACTGTATATTGAGGGTGTGAGTGAACAGAGAGTGAGGGGAAGAAAAGGAGGGGGAAAGATAATAGGAACACTGAAGAGTGGGACTGGTGTTTGGACACTTGAGTTCATGACGTCTACTTACCTGACTTTCTGTCAAATAATTTTTGAAAGAAGTGACACTCTCCACTTGAATGCAGGATATATATATATAAAAATACCAATTCTTTATCCATCTTTTCTCCAGGAGATTAAGCCTGCGAACACTGAAGGTCTGTTGAGGCGAGTAATCTCTCCTACTCTCCTTTATGATTTCCAAAGTGTTGGAAATCTTCTAAGCCCAAGTGGCAACTGCACTCACTGCCTTATTTCTCAGGTTGATGTGCAATTTCTAAAAGGCTGCTGACTTCTGGAATCAAGTTACCTGGTTTGCGACCAAAGTTTTACAAACCGTACCAAGCTTAGCCTTTGAGTGCTAGAACTAAACTTTAGCTTCTCTTGAATTAATACTAAACCAAAAGCAATTCCATATTATGATGAGTCTGTAGACTCAAGTGGTTGATACTGAGTATGTGCATTTGTTTCCATTTTAATAAACTTTTTTTCTCTTCTCAGGAAAATTTTCACATATTTTATGATTTCACTTTTAGCTTGTTTTCGTAAGTTTTATTGTGGTGGTGTCCATACCATTAAAAGCACCCTTTAAAGTGTACATTCAGTGGTTTTTAGTATATTTACAGACTTGTGCAGCCACTGTCATTATGTAATTTTAGAACATTTTTATCACCTCCCAAAAGAAACCCTATTCCCATTAACCACTAACCTTATAACTATTAACAGTTACTCTCCATCACCCCCACCAACCAGCCTCTGGCAAATAATAATCTACTTTTTGTCTCAGAGGCTATTCCTATCCTGGACATTTCAAACAAATGGAATCATACAGTATGTGGCTTCTTGGTTCTGGCTTCTCTCACAGGGTTTTCAGGGTTCATTCATGTTTTAATATGTATCCATACTTCCTTTCTTTTTATTATCAAATAATAATAACACAACTGACAAGCCTGTATCCATTGTGTGGGTACACCACATTTTCTTTACCCATTTATCAGTTGATGGACATTTGAGTTGTTTCCAGTCTTTTGGCCATTGTGAATAATGCTTTTATGAACATTCATGTACAAGTTTTTTGTGAGGCCATATGTTTTCAGTTCTCTTGAGCACATACTTAAATCAGAGGAACTCACCTCTTCCTGTTACCACTCTTTCTTGACACATGCCTGTATCTCTGTCTGTTTCTGCACCAGGATATACTGTATAGTATATAAAAAAAGTGGGAGTTATTTTGGCTATATTCTCCTTTACCACAGAGAAACCAGGTTTGTCTTTGCTGTATGATTTGGTGTCATTGGTGTCCCTTTTTAGAATCTAAGCTCCTTCAAGACAAAAACTGTGTTTTCTCTTTACTCTCACAGTTCTAAATATCTTCTATGATAACATGCCCAGATTAAGTATTTGGTAAAAACATTGCAACTGAAGGTGGGTTAGAAAATTTAAAAAGAAATGTGATGCACTGACTGGTTTGGCTCAGTGGATAGAGCATCGGCCTGCAGACTCAAGGGTCCCAGGTTCGATTCCGGTCAAGGGCATGTACCTTGGTTGCGGGCACATCCCCAGTACGGGGTGTGCAGGAGGCAGCTAATCGATGTTTCTATCTCATCGATGTTTCTAACTTTCTATCCCTCTCCCTTCCTCTCTGTAAAAAATCAATAAAATATATTTTAAAAAAATAAAAAGAAATGTGATGATACATATCAAGGCAAGAGGCAGACTCAATAGTGTGATAAACCATAAAAAGGGCTTTTTTTTTTCCCCAGAAAGGCAAATCAGCTTTATAAAGTTTAAAGTAGATCATTATATTACAAAATGATTACTTTTTAAACTGGTTATTTTTAAATTGATTTACCACATCTTTTTAAAATGCATACATTTCTGGTAAAGGACTTATATTGATATATTGTGCTCAAGTAATTAAGGGAAAAATAACCTATTTTTTTTCTAAATATAAGTGAAATCTATTTTGTTTGTTAGGGGAACAGGAGAAACTTTGAAAATAATAATTCATTTCTGCTTCTAAAACCTATTTTACAAAATCTTTTGTAATGTTGTTACTACTGTGATCCCCTTACTTTTTATATTAATATCGGAAAATGAAAAAGCAGACTATGGCTCCTCTTCATTCACCCTCCTTCTGAGTGTGAGATGTCACTTAATGTACAACCTTTCAAGCTGTTCACAGCGGCTGGCATGCTGGAAGTTAGTGTGTCCCAACTCTCAGGCAACCCTAATGCCAAAAAGAAAGTAAGAATTTTCATTTTCTTATGCAGGAGTTATGAAGGTATCTGGACTCATTGAAATAATGAGTTTGTTATTTTTTAAATAACTTATTTTATGCTATTTATTTGGAAAATTCCGAAATAATAATATATAGAAAAGTGATATTCTATATTTTTTCTGTAGTTTTTGTAATGTTTTGTATTCATTTATAGGTTAATTAAGGAAGTCATGGTTTGAATGTATACCCTAGTGGTATTTTTACTTTTTTAATTGAATCACAAACGTTTCCCAAGTTTCTCTTCTTTGTGCTTTCCAAAACATTTCCCCAAATTGTTTTTAATTCAAAACAGAAATGTATTTTTTTTATTTGTGAAGGGATATGTATATATTTTAAAAGAAATCAATGTGTAAAATAGAATAAAACAGTCTTCACCACCTCATTCCCCAAGAGAGAAGCAGGGGTTGTGAGCATGTTATGAGAAGAGGGTCAGAGAGGCAAGAGGAGAACCTGGGAGTGGTGCTCTGAGACGCATTCTATAAAGTCTTTTAAATGAGGAGAGTTGAGTTGAAATGCACTAAAAGTGAAAACATATGAAAAATAAAGGAAATTCATTGTTTTTCATTAAGTTGTCACTTTTTTACTTGAAAAGCAGTGAAGTGTTAAGTTCAAATTTTAAAATAAAGGTGGCTAGAAAGCATGGAAAATATGTTGCACATAGTAGTCACTTAATAAATGCTGACTTAACATTGCTAATAATTCTGTGAACATCGTGTTTTATAGTTGAAACCGAAAAGCGGTTTATTAATAATAATATTGATTGCTATTATTATTATTATTATTTTGATGTGCCATCCTTGGTTGGTAAACACTTAAGGCTTTATTTTTCAATTTCCACTTAGGCCTCTTATGAAGGAGCTGGAGGGGAAATAAAATATACAGGATGAAAAGATGGCAATGTTGCCTCCCCCAGGACCTCAGAGTTTTGTCTACTTCACAAAACAGTCTCTTGCCCTCATTGAACAACGTATTGCTGAAAATAAAACAAAGGAACCCAAAGAAGAAAAGAAAGACGATCATGAAGAAGGCCCAAAGCCAAGCACTGACTTGGAAGCTGGCAAACAGCTGCCCTTCATCTATGGGGACATCCCTCCAGGCATGGTGTCGGAGCCGCTGGAGGACCTGGACCCCTACTATGCAGACAAAAAGGTGAGTTTCCTGGGACTGCAGGGTGCGGTCTCTGCCTCGTTCTGTACGGAAAGTTAGTTTAAATTGGAGTGGAATTTAGGGAAGATCCACATCATGACTAAAATATTCAAGTAAATACCTATGTAGGATATTCAGAATATCTACTTTTTCTAATTCTTTATTGAAACTGGTTCTATCATGCCATTTTGATTTCCTTAATCTTTTGAAAGTGTTCAGTATATTGTTCTTCCTTTTTGGACATGCCTTAAACGCATACCAGTAGGAACAAAGCAAGTGTCAACTGACAAGTCATGGGGATGTGTCCAGAGTGCATTTTGTGGAGGTGACAGCTGACTCCCTGGGAAGATATAAGATTGCTCAATTAATAATGAAGTTTGGAGAGCTGCTTTACAGTGTTGGAGAGAAGGAGGAGTCTGAGATGGTCAGGGAGGGAAGGCATAAATCAGAAAAGTTTCCATTGTTCCAAGAAGAAGGCAAAAGAGCATCTCGTAAAATTACCCAGAAAGTTGAGGAGAGAAAGGCAATTGCAATGAGGAAGGACGAGAAGTCTCCCAGATAATTCTGATAGACATAGGACCCTTTTCCCTCTTTGCTCTCATACTCCTCCATTTGTATTTCTCTGTATGATTCCTGTCACATCTTGTCTTTAATATATTAGAGTTATCATGTTCCTGTTGCCTTTCTAGAAAGCTCCTTGAATGCAAAACTCATGCCTCACTTACGTTTAAACTCTTCATTGCCTCTTATACTATAGTTGCTCACTACATAATTGTAGAAAATAATGGATGAGTGAATTTTAAGCATGGTATATTGAAATTTAAGAAAGCAGTACTCCTACTCAAGCACTAGGTATTAATTTTAAACTAATTTTCAATGTAAAAGTGAACTTTATGTTAAATTATGTTTAGACATAAAAGTAGTACAGTGAAAGAGACCAGGAATATAAAAGGGCATCCAAAATTAATAGATTCAGATTCATTTTCTTGAGAAGAGTGTCACATGCAATTAAAAAGCAAGATATTCAAACTTATGTCTCCAATGTAGAAAAATATTGACTACCAGAAGCCCACTCATAAACTCGTATAAAATGCAGATTAAGTAACAACAATAAAAAGACCCAGTCAATGTGTTCTAGTGAACACAATTTGCCTGCCAGTGCAGAAATATAAGACAAGGATTTGAACTTGGACTTTCTGATTTTCAATCCAAAAACAGTAGATTGTTTTAGTGTTTTGGTATTGTTGCTATTTACTTGTTTGGATTTTAAATGTTTTAAGAATGTTTAGTTCTATTTGTATCATTTTAAAAAATTACCATGGGTAGTAGCAAGCACTTTAACTTGTGTCCTTTTATTTTAGCTGTTATTAGTATTATATCTAAAATAGGAAAATTGATCTGGGTACTAGGATTATTCCAACTCTAATATTTGTGAAAATATTTTTTGAAGGAATTTATATTTTGGAGCACTTTCTGCTAATCATAACAATAGCCAACAAGGATTAAAAGTGTCAAGGTGTTATGGTAAAAATCAGGGATAGATAGTTTTTAATTGGTTTGCTTACAATGCAGTGTAATGAATGAAGGAAGTTGTATTTTAAACTAATTTCAATGGCCACAACTTATTGTCACTGATGTGGGCATTGAAGGGATATAAAAAAGAAAAGACACTGTATTTTGGGTGCTCTAAGTAACACATGCTCATAAATACTTCACTTCCTAGCCTGCTGAGAAGTAATGACTTGGAATTCATTGGCCAGCATGATATACATAGTTGTTTCAATGGTAGTGGAACCGCATTGCTTGAGTCTGATGACAGTGTTTCTTTAATATGACACTACCACATAGAGAGGAAAACTGCTGAGATTAATGTACTAAATTTTGGATTCTCAATTTCATCCTGTTTTCTTTTTGATCCTGCAGACTTTCATAGTATTGAACAGAGGGAAAGCAATCTTCCGTTTCAATGCCACACCTGCTTTGTACATGATCTCTCCTTTCAGTCCTCTGAGAAGAATATCTATTAAGATTTTAGTACATTCATATCCTTTTAAAAATGCTTACTTGCAATGATTCTTTAAAATGTACTTTTTGCATCTTATTTAATATAGATTTTTAGCCCTTTCGTACCCAAAAAGACTGTTTTTAGTTTATCATTTCAATATAATTTGGTGTAGGTCTCTGGGAAGATTGGAAGAATGTCAGTTTTAAAATTTAGGATATATTACTCTGACCTATTACTCTCATGTTTAAAGAGATTTTACAAAGTCTATAAATTTATTAATAACTAGAGGCCCACAGGGGATTGTCAAGGGCAGGGGAAAAAAAGGACACATATGTAATACCCTTTGTAATACTTTAAGCAATAAAAAAATAAAAATAAAAAAATAAATAAAACTAAATTTAAAAACAAGTCAAAAAAAAACAAAAAACTAGAGGCCCAGTGCATGGATTCATGCACCAGTGGGGTCCTCCGGCCTGGCCTGGGGGATTGGGCCGAAACCGGCAGTCCGACATCCCCCAAGGGGTCCCAAAGTATGAGAGGACACTCTGCAAAGTTGCTGTCGCTTGGCAGCTCCTGTGTTGAGTGTCTGCCCTCTGGTGGTCAGTGCACATCATAGCTGCCAGCCAGTCAGCCAGTCAGCCAGTCAGCCAGTCAGCCAGTCAGCCAGTCAGCCAGTCAGCCAGTCAGCCAGTCAGCCAGTCAGCCAGTCAGCCAGTCAGCCAGTCAGCCAGTCAGCCAGTCAGCCAGTCAGCCAGTCAGCCAGTCAGCCAGTCAGCCAGTCAGCCAGTCAGCCAGTCAGCCAGTCAGCCAGTCAGCCAGTCAGCCAGTCAGCCAGTCAGCCAGTCAGCCAGTCAGCCAGTCAGCCAGTCAGCCAGTCAGCCAGTCAGCCAGTCAGCCAGTCAGCCAGTCAGCCAGTCAGCCAGTCAGCCAGTCAGCCAGTCAGCCAGTCAGCCAGTCAGCCAGTCAGCCAGTCAGCCAGTCAGCCAGTCAGCCAGTCAGCCAGTCAGCCAGTCAGCCAGTCAGCCAGTCAGCCAGTCAGCCAGTCAGCCAGTCAGCCAGTCAGCCAGTCAGCCAGTCAGCCAGTCAGCCAGTCAGCCAGTCAGCCAGTCAGCCAGTCAGCCAGTCAGCCAGTCAGCCAGTCAGCCAGTCAGCCAGTCAGCCAGTCAGCCAGTCAGCCAGTCAGCCAGTCAGCCAGTCAGCCAGTCAGCCAGTCAGCCAGTCAGCCAGTCAGCCAGTCAGCCAGTCAGCCAGTCAGCCAGTCAGCCAGTCAGCCAGTCAGCCAGTCAGCCAGTCAGCCAGTCAGCCAGTCAGCCAGTCAGCCAGTCAGCCAGTCAGCCAGTCAGCCAGTCAGCCAGTCAGCCAGTCAGCCAGTCAGCCAGTCAGCCAGTCAGCCAGTCAGCCAGTCAGCCAGTCAGCCAGTCAGCCAGTCAGCCAGTCAGCCAGTCAGCCAGTCAGCCAGTCAGCCAGTCAGCCAGTCAGCCAGTCAGCCAGTCAGCCAGTCAGCCAGTTGCTTAGGCTTTTATATGCATAGATTATTTTCTAAGAAAAAGATTTCAACAGGTGTTATTATTAAATATTCAAGATTCCTGCCATGGTCGTTCGTCATATTCCTTGACTCTAAGCTACCTTGTTCGGCATGCTTATCATGTGCACTATTCTGACAAACTGCATATTTATGACCATGAGTAACCCTCCAGACTGGGCCAAGAACGTAGAGTAAGTGGGTATATGTACATTTTAATATGGTCTTAGTAGTATCATTGTTATCCTTTCCTTTTCCTATCAGAAGTTATTCCATCTATAAAAATTGTGGTGTTTATCTTCCCATGTTATATAGTTTCTTTTCTTTCTATTATTATTATTTTTCCTATGGTGTTAACCTGACAGCAGTAGAATAGGATATTTAGAAAAGAATAATTAGATGATACAGTCTTTTCCAGAAGAATGAATGTATGAGACACCCTGCCTGTTGTTAGACATGTTATATATTTCTTATCCTTGGCTGTATTTCTGATAGGATCAACATAGGAACTTTCAAGGCATATCTAAACCTATGTTCTTAGTAATTTTCAGTACTTCTACTTTCTAGGAGAGTTTCTGATATAGACATTTTAAGGTTGGTTTTTTTTTTGAAAGACCTTGACTATTAGTTTATTTTAATATTTAGAGTGGGTCCATAAGCCAACAGCCACACTGCAGTAGATGCCTTCCTTTGGTTAATCAGGAAAAAATAAATTATAAAGATTCACCTAGTGCTGTATTCTTTTCATATTTAATATCCCAATGGATTCTTGTGTCTAGGTACACTTTTACTGGAATATATACTTTTGAATCACTTATAAAAATCCTTGCAAGAGGCTTCTGTATAGGAGAATTCACTTTCCTTCGTGACCCATGGAACTGGCTAGATTTTATCGTCATTGTTTTTGCGTAAGTACTACATTCAGTTTTTCAAATGGCAAATTTGTGAAAAATCACAGACAGCACAGTATTTCAGTAAGAACAATGCTTACATTTAAATAAAACTGTATAAAAGCTAGTTATTTGTTGGAAAATACTAACTTTTATAGAAAGATCATTTCTCACTCGAATGTGTATGACATCATTAAGATTGATCATCTCCCTCTGCACCCAGCATTTGGATGGACAGTTTATGTGGTGCCAGTTAGGTTCACACATTTTCCAAGTTCTTATTTAAACACAAATAAAACTTGTTTTAACCACAGAAAAAAAATAGGTCTTTAATTATAAGTATGGTGCCCTTTTTATTAATATAAACTGTTCAAGTGCTAATAAATATATTAAAATATAGAAGTCTCTCTCTATATAAAAGGCTAATATGCTAAATGTCCTTCCCTCCATCCTGATAATGACATCACATAGCAATGCACAGCTTCCTCTCCCTAGCGATGACTAGCCTCCTTGCAGTTTCTTCAGCCCAGGAGCATGACTTGCTTTATAGCCAGGTGGAAACACTTTATACTTTAACCAAATGTCTGTGAAGCATTTTTCATTCCTCATCTCATTTGATCCTCACAGAAGTCCTGGAGTAGTAGATAGGAGACTCGGTGGAATCCTACTTTCTTTTCATTAGCCAGAAAACAGAGATTTAGAAAGTTTAGAAACTTGACCCTACTGAAAAAAAGTAAGAAATGGTGGACCTTAAAAATGACTTCAGGTTTTCTTACTGCACAGAATATAGTCAAACACTGCTGCAGTTAAATATTTTACCCTTTATTCTCCCTGCATGATCTATAATAATAATCTGCTTCATGTTGATATTTACTGCTGTGTTGCTGACAATTACCTGAAAGAGAAGTTGGAGTGCTTCACTGGGCTGGAGAAAGTTTAGCTAAATCAGAAAGCAGGTCTAATTAAGCAAGTTTGTTCTATATCTATAAAAGGCTAAGTTAACTCGCGAATGTGCGATACATATAAAGCTCTCACTGGCACCAATCGCACGCATGTGTTTCGATCTGTCATTGTCTATTGTGAATTTAGTTGACACTTCTATTATAGAGAAAGGGTGAATAGCGATATTAAAATATTTCTTCTAATTAATTCCATTTCAATGTGCATGAATTCATGCACCAGGCCACTAGTATATTTTATAAGGGCTGTCACTGCATATTAAACCTAACATTAATGCATCGTATGTGTATTACACATGCATCCCCAGTTTATTTTCAAGGGGAAAAATATTAACATATAATTGTAATTTATTCACATAGTTACTTTCTTCCAAAATATGTCAGAAACATTCAAAAAGAATTTTTTTTAATCTCAAACCTAGTTAGAATATTTTTGGCTCTATCATTTTGATGTAAAAGTAGTGGATGTTCATTGAAAGAACTTAGACAAAACCGAAGGGTCTTTTTAGATTTCTGGTCTCCGGTTCCCTCACCCCCTGTCCCACCTCCATGTCCATCAGCCTCCCTCCTTTCATGATCACACATGACTGCAGTTGTACCTACCACTTGCTGATGAGACAACATTGTGTCACACAAGGCTGCCACTTCTCAGGGGAGTCTCCTTTACTATAGAAATAGACTACACAGACCATAAAATTTACTCCTTTAAAATATAAAATTCAGTGTTCTTAGTATGTTCAGAGAGTTGTGCAACCACTACCACTCTCTAATTTCAGAATATTTTCATCACCCCCAAAAAGCAGTCACTTCCATTCATCCCCTTCCCCCAGCTACTGGAAGGCACTCATCTATGTTTCATCTCTATGGATTTGTCTACTGTAGTCTTTTCACATGAATGGAACCATATAGTATGTGGCCTTTTGTGTCTGGCTTCTTTCACTTTGCATACAATTTCCCAGGTTTTCCACTGATATTTTATAAAATTATTAAATATCTATAGTACCATAATGTTGAGATCTAATAACTGAAGCATGTAATTGTTTACTTAGGCACTTAAGTGTATGAAACCATTTTAATAATATATTTATATTTTGCTCACATCAAATATGTCAATTAAAATCTATTTAAATTCAATTAGATATGATAGGAAAGAAAAGGGTTGCAGAAGTATATCTTTAAGACTTTCCAAATGTAGGAAATACCTTGACTAAAGGCACAGGTAAGTATCATAGACTCTATCTAAATTCTGAATAACTCTGATTTAATTCTACAGGTATATAACAGAATTTGTAAACCTAGGCAATGTTTCAGCTCTTCGAACTTTCAGAGTCTTGAGAGCTTTGAAAACTATTTCTGTAATCCCAGGTAAGAAGTGATTGGTGTGAAGCATTAGGCCACTCATAACTCCAACTATTTGGGAGTTGTTCTTTGTGTTTGTGCGTGTGTTGTCACTGTGTTTGTGTATAAACTCCCTATTGCAGATATGTGACAGAGTTTGTGGACCTGGGCAATGTCTCAGCGTTGAGAACATTCAGAGTTCTCCGAGCATTGAAAACAATTTCAGTCATTCCAGGTGAGAGTTAAACACCGGGGCTGACTTTGATTTTTTGGAGAAAATACAAGAAAGACTTTCTCTTATGAAAATTTAATGAATCTAATTTTTTATGTTTTTCAGAATCCTTATTAAAAGTCAGCCTTTGTGTTTAATCAATTGCATGGGTCTTAGAGGATGAAGATGGCCATTTGGCTCACATCTCAACTTGAAATTTTCCCTCCTGTCTATCAGTTCATTTTCCATTTGACTGATTCAGGAATGAAAATTTCAATTTGTTTACATTGCTTTTCATAGAGTTAAGAAAAGAGAGAGAATATCAGCATGAAGGTATTGCATGACATATTTCTTTTATCTTTCCTCAACAAACCATTTCTTAACTGAAAATTAGTAAGTTGTCACTATGCATTGCAAGTCAGCCTCTTTGTTTTAGTACCAGTATATAGAGAAATGGTTTGTGTGACAAGAACTTACTGAATTGACACTTTTAAAAAATTATTTTTTACAAGTGAGTGTGGATATGGTTTGAGCAACCAAATCTTTTACTTTGACAATTTGGTTATTCATTGGAAATATTTTACAGTTTTTAATCATTTGCAATAATATATGGAAACAATATATGAAAACCAGAAAATCCACCTTTTTGACCTCGTGGGCTTTTTTTGAGTTAGGCTATTTAAGGTCACTGACCTGACAAAATGCATGCGTTTCCAGGAAAACTGTGTTTGTTTCTCATTCAAAAACTTTATTCCATTGTGAATACCTTTTTTTTTTACGCCCTCTGCATTCAGGCCTGAAGACCATCGTGGGGGCCCTGATCCAGTCTGTGAAGAAGCTCTCAGACGTCATGATCCTGACGGTGTTCTGTCTGAGCGTGTTTGCGCTGATCGGCCTGCAGCTCTTCATGGGCAGCCTGAAGCACAAATGTCTGCGGGCTTCCCTTGAAAGTAATGAATCAAGCACGTTGGACAACCTTGATGAAGAGCTCTACAGAGGTACGACTGTCCCTACAGTGGTTCAGAGGTTGAAATAAAGCTAAAAGCATTGATTCCTTTGAAGGTTAAATGTTGCTTTCATTTTAATTATTTCAAAATTATTCAAATATGTAGAAAGTTGCTACAGTGTGAATTTGGATCATATTATATTTTTAATAACTCTCCCTGGTTCAAAGCTTTCTAGCAGTCCTGGTATTGGAAGCATGAGATACTTTCATAATTCTCAATTTCTGTAAGATAAAAAAGAATAAATTTGCTCTAGAGAAATCAATTTAGCTATGAATTAATACTATGAATTATTACATTTCATCCATAAGATACATTTTTATGTATTTAATTTTATTGTATAATCTTTACCTATGTTTATTTTATAATGTAATTTATTATATGAGAATATAATTATGTTCTACATGTATATAACTATAATAGCATGATATACTTATATTAGTTATAATATAATAATACATCAATTACTACATATTAAAATGAGTGTCTTGATAGTATTTCTAAAGAGTCCCATACAGCACAACAGTTTTATAACCAATGATGGGTTTTACAGTTCTTTCTAATGGCTTCTTCAATCTCATTAATGCATCACATCAAAGTTTAATTTATTAGAGCTAGTTCTAAAGGTACCATAGCAGGTGATCTATACACATTATCTCAGAAGTCTGCTAAATGAACAAGTATATTTTAGAGTATGTTACAGAAAGCACGAACTGTATGTCTTCTAAACAATTAATCCCTAACAGTTTTCTTCACCGGAACTGTTGATAAGTTTGGGTGAGAATGAGATCTAGCAAGGTTGTGCTTTCTAACACTTGCAGTGTGTCTGTATGATGTGGCCTGCAGGAACGCATAAGCCTTAAAGGTCATTAGACCCAGAGTGGGCTGTAAGTCAAGAAACCTTTCAAATGTGTGTGCCTGTGACGGAAGGAGATCAGGGAGTAAGGTCAAGACTCTCCTTGGATAATAAAGAATTCTATGCATCATTTTTTTACTTTACTTGTCCTCTCACTGGGGAAGATAAAAGCAAATAAAACCTAGCTAATATATTTAAATACTGTAAATAAAACAAAAAAGATATAATCTAAAACAAGAAAACTGAAGGTTTTCAAATAAAATGTACATTTTTTTTTACTGGCTTTTGATGAAGAATTTAGCATACTTTTCTTTTTATCTTTATTTTTTCAATTCCTAATTTTTGTTAATATGATCTTACATTTTATTTCCAATTTCCAAAGAATTTTATTCCTCAATTCATATGCCATAAAAGTAATATATCTTATGGTAAATTATTTGCATTTACCTTCTCTTTTGTGAATCAGTGTACAACTTTTATTTAAACACCTTTTTTTTTTTTTAAACTAGTCCTTTTACTCTTATTCTTGGTTCCATTACTGAGTTTGGAATTTGAATGATTTTTTTAAACCTTCTGAAATGGTCTCAAGCAATTCTTTTTTTTGTTTGTTTTTGTTTTCAAAAAAAGTAGAAAAAGTCCTTGAATTTTGTAGTGTGTCTTTATGTTGCCTTTACACATGAGGGACAGCTAAGTCAACAATAAAATATTATTCCATAATCATTTGCCTCAGTTCTGTACATTATTCTTGGTTTTCTTCTGAAATATTGGCTTAGAGAGATGTTTATTATCATGTTTATTACCGTCCATTGCCTGGCCCATAAGAGCTTATCAATAAATATTTGAGGGAGACTCTATAAGAAATAAATAAATAAATGCATGTTGCCTGAATGTGTGTGAATGTCTATATTAACTAATTTACCTGCTGCAGCTTACACTCCATAACCTTCTACTGTTCAATTTCTTCCCACATAGATTATTTTTATTTCCTGGAGGGATCTAAAGATGCTCTCCTCTGTGGTAACAGCACAGACTCAGGGTACGTAGTATTTGTTTTTAGTGTAAAGACTTAAAAAAAGAAAAGGAAAAACATACTCATTTGGATTGCTGATAAGAACCTTTGATTCATATTGGTTTTACGTATTTCATGGCATCATTTAATTCCTTCTGCCCCCACAGTGAGTTCAGACTTTATAAGGTTCATAGTTACTGCGTACCTTTGAATGTAAGACTTGGAGGTAGTGTTTAAATGAAAACAAGACATACATCATATAAGCCTTAAGACAGTAGAAAAAAAGATTTCCATAAACCCCACCAAACGTTGGTGGGTTACTTTTCAGCTTTGCTTCTTTCTGAAGAAAATCAAATGTTCTTTCCACCCTCAAATTCTACTCATTCTCCAATCAAGTGTGACTGATAGGTGACTGAATGCAATGACATTTGGGGGCACTCTAAAAAAAGGGACCTCATGGACTTGGGTAAAGACATTTTAAGAATCTCATATTGATGCAAATACCCACCTTGCTGTTTCTCCTGCACACCAACTTTATCTCTGCTGCAGCATTTTGTACTTGCTCTCCTTCTGCTCAGATAGATATCTCTTCACCATGCCACGTGTGCACTGGAAACATAAAAATAAAGATGATAAGGTGGCAGCTCCCAAAGATACCTCAGAACACTGTTTATTTGGCATCATGCATACCAATCCACCAATTTGAGGAAGGAAAAGAGTCTTAAGGCTACAAATCTTACACAATTGCTATGCTTTGACTATTCTTTACAATAATATATATATATATTAGAAACCCAGTGCGCAAAATTGTGTGGCCCTGTCCACCGGTGCGGCCTGGCCGCACTTGCAGCCCTGCCCACCTGCGCTGGTCTTTGGTCGTTACAGTGTTAGGGCCACAGGCCCTTTATAAAAAATAGGTTCTTATTGATTTTAGAGAAGAAGGGAGATTTTAGAGAGAAGGGGAGAGAAGGATAGAAACATCAATGTAGAGAGAGAATCATTGATTGGCTGCCTCCTGCATGCCCACTATTGGGGTTCAAGCCTGCAACCTGGGCATGTGCCCTGACCTGGAATTGAACAGTGACCTCCTGGTTCATGGGTCAATGCTCAACCACCCAGCTACACCAGCCAAGCTGAGCTTTGACTATTCTTGATTGTGATTCACGCCAAGAATAATAAAGGTGGGGGTGAGGGGAGACACAGTTTTGTTAGAGGCCTATATCAATCTTTATAGATACAATAACTATTATATGACATCTGGTGTATGTTTCCAAGTTTTAATGGTGATGATGATGATATAATAGCAGCTACTGTTGATTTGCAGGAACTAAGATAGGTAATTTGCATACATTATCTTCTTTAAACTTAACAATCTTAACCATTTGAGATAGGTGTTATCTTGTTTTCACAGAAAGAGGGCATTGGCCTTAAAAAATTTAAGTAATTTGACAAATTTACCAACTAGTAAATAGTAGGGGTAGGATTCTAACCCAGTTCCTCCTAACTCCAAAAAATCTGTTCTTAATCATTTTTCAATATTGACCACCACCACCCCCATAAAGGGACCTTGAATTTCCCACTTTTCTGTAGGATTGTTTAGCTTGTATCCTGAAGCCACTCTGACTTGTTATTCCTTTTCTCATGTAGTCAGTGTCCAGAAGGGTACATATGTGTGAAAGGAGGCAGAAACCCAGACTATGGCTACACGAGCTTTGACACTTTCGGTTGGGCCTTCTTAGCCTTGTTTAGGCTAATGACCCAGGATTACTGGGAAAACCTTTACCAACAGGTGAGTGCCAAGAGAAACATTCATTGCATTCATTGCATAATCTGATGTACGGCTCTTGCCTGCTTTAAATATGTGATGTCTTATTCAATTTAGAGTGGAGAAAACTCTATTGTCTTATTATTAAAATTAAACATTTCTGCTTCCAGCACTAGTAAATGGATAGTTCTTGAATGAAAAATTATTTCATTATCTTTCCTGGACTTATTTGATCTCTAAATCTTTTTCCCCCTTTGCAAATGTAGAATCCCATAATATTCTAAGTAAATAGCAAGAAATATATTGTAATATTCTCTCCTACCTCTCTTGAACAAACTATGCTTTCCTCATGTGCCTTTCTGCTTTGAGTGCCCTAAAAGCAGGCTGTCCTATGCTCACCATGCTTTATTTTTTGAACTCCCATATACAATTGTTATGGACTGAATTGCATGCCTCCAAATCCATATGTTGAAATCCTAACTCCCAGTACCTTAGAATGATTATATTTGGAGCTAGAGCCTATAAAGAGGTAACTGAGTTAAAATTAGTCGATTAGGGTGCATCCTAATCCAATCTGACTGGTGGTCTCATGAGAAAAGAAGATTCAGACATGAGCAAGAGAGGCACCGGAGATACACACACACGGAGAGAACATGCCATGTGAGAATTCAGTGAGGAGGTGGCCATCTGCAAGGCAAGGAAAGAGGCCTCAGGAGATACGTACATGCCAACACTTTCATATTGAACTTCCAGCCTTCAGACTGTGAGAAACACATTTCTGTTGTTTAAGCTACCCAGTCTGTAGGATTTTGTTATGGCAGCCCTAGAAAATTAACACAAGAGTGAAAGACTCAGTTCACTTCTCTAAAATCTCCTCTTCCAATTCAGTTGCTCCTTGCTCTAGACCTGCATGCCCTTTGCACATTCTTCAGTTTAAAGCATCCACCTCTTGTACTGTAATTGTTAATTCACATCGTCATCTCCCCTAACTTCAATGTGATCCTCTTGGGCCTGTGGGCTCTTTCTTATCCCCCAAGAGGAAGGAGACCAAAAATGATGATTCCGTATTATAAATAATAACCAACACTTTTCTCAATTTGCCACAGATTCTTCTTTTGGCCTGTTTCATGTTTATTTAATTTCTGCGAATATTATAAATGAATATAGAAAGGAAATGCAAACATACAGGAAAAAAGGAATATAAATGACTTTTAAGTATGCAAAAAGATATTCACCTTTTCTGCAGGTTAAATGTGGCATAAATTTTTTTACCTATCAGAATGACAAAGATCAAAATTAGATCAAAAGAGAAATACTGTCTGGCTGAGATATGTAGAGGAAGACATTCCTGGGAACCACTGGAGAGTAACATGGGAATTTCTATGAAAATTTAAGTGAATATACCTATTGAGCTAACAATGATGCTACATACTAAGAATTTACCCAAGACAAAACAACAGTAACTGATAGAAAAAGGATTTGAGTAACTAGGCATCAGAGATAGGAGAGACTTATTTTTCATTTAATATCTGTACCATTGGAATTATTTTTACCATTTATTTTATTGTTAAATTTTTAGTAAATGTGAATTAAAAATAAGTATAAGATGAATAAATAAGTTCATATGATAGGATTATCTTTTATGAACAAAATGCATCATTGCTAATATTTCTTGTTAAAGAAAAAATTTTAAAACTAAAAGGCACTATTTATCTAGTCCTATAATTTAAAAATGAGCAAAGCAGCTAGTTTTTTGAGTAATTTTTAGACTGGAGAAATTTTTTCAGGATTATTCTATTTAATAATAATCAAGAATTATATCTAAGTCTAGTACAAGTTTAATTGATTGTTATATACTTTATAGTAAAAAGTATATATTTTAATACTGATTGTTTTCCATGAAGATACAATTTTATCCCTTTATAGTTTGATAACATGAGATTATGCAGAACTGCCCAATTTGCCCATGCTTAATATGCCATTCAAGATGAAATCATTTACCAAAAATACTTTTTTGTTATTAAAATAATGATTTCCATTTTCCCCTAGACACTGCGTGCTGCTGGGAAGACATACATGATCTTCTTTGTTGTGGTGATTTTCCTGGGCTCCTTTTATCTAATAAACTTGATCCTGGCTGTGGTTGCCATGGCCTACGAAGAACAGAACCAGGCAAATATCGAAGAAGCCAGGCAGAAAGAGTTAGAATTCCAACAGATGTTAGATCGACTTAAAAAAGAGCAAGAAGAAGCAGAGGTATTGTTATTTGGTTTAAAATTCTTCCTAGAAGTAGACGTGCAGAGGGAACAACAGAGGCCTTGTGGTCTGCTCCACCTTCCCCAGGGTGATTTTCTGTAATAGATTCCTCTATATAAACTGAAATCTTCATTCTAGTGTGGTCGAAGGAACCAATTCCAGACTGAGTTACAATTGACGTCTGACCCAGTCCACTTTCCCCCGTAATCAGCACAGAGAATGTTCTGTTTCTCCTAAATCCTGTGTTTCCTCAGTGCCTGTGGCATTATGCAAAGTCCTAAAACATGATGTATTTCCCCAGAAAAATTGTACAGAAAGGTTTAGGAGAAATTATTTTAATGTTAATGTTAACAGATACTCTATGGGTAGAAAGAAAAATGGGCACCAATTTTTGTTAATGTTGTAAGGATTTTTAAGATAAAAATGTGAGCTATTAAAAAATTATACTTATGGTTGTGGCCACTTTGGGCTAAGTCACAAATTTTTAAGGATTTCTCCTTAATCCTCTCTCCAAAGGGGTAATTTAGTGGGAAAGTTTGAGACGGTTTATATTAAGAACTAAAATTTCAGATATTCTGCAAGTCTTAACACTCATTTGATGGTTTGCCTAGTTAAATCTCTTCAAGGAATCTAACCTATTGGAGAGAGTAGTAACCTATAATGCAGAGAAACTTGATGCAGAAAAATGTTCAGTGCAGTATTTTAATAATAGTAACCATCAGAAAGCATTTACATTTTCAAAAATTAGAAAATGGTTAAGAGGATTATGATACTTTTGTACCTTAGAGTATTTTTAAACCATAGAATTATGTGTTTTAAGAATATTATGACAGGAAAAGGTGTTGTTATAACAATGTATTAAGTAGTAGAATATAAAATTGAGTATAAGACATAAACATTTTAAAAATCATTTATATAAAGACTGGAAGAAATAGTAATACCAGTTATTTTGGGGATGTAGGATTATGAGTGATTTTTATTCACAATATATCTTCCAAAATTTTACAAGGAGTTTTTTCTATAAAGGTTATCTCAGGAATTTCCTAGGGCACTCCTAGGAGTTTCTTTCATTTTCTTGGGATATTATTCTGTGATAATTAATTTTAATTTTCAGATAACTTATTCTTCACTAAGCTATAAAGGGCCTGATTCTTTTGATAATATTGCATTAATTATCTGAACAAGATATGCAAATCATCTTATCACATGGTTTATGCTTTATGTCCCAGAATTGCCTAGTAAAACTTTCACATGTATTATTTAAAATTGCTTTACTTAAATATAGTAATAGTATGTAATAGTTTAATTCCAGAACAGAACTGCGCTTTGTTGTAGTGCAGGAGAAGCAATAAATACATACTTTGTAAGCTCTCTGACCATAGTGTAAAGAAAATGACATTTCTTCTCATACAAGGGACATGATTAACGCACAATATAATTAAATTCGTGGTAGAGAGTTCTCCCATCATCAGTTTTCCCCAACTTTGGAAGTGACTCACTGTATGTGTGACATCTGGATCCAACAGGCAATAGCGGAGGCAGTAGCTGGATATACAAGTAGAAGGAGAAGCAGGATTATGGGCCTCTCTGAGAGTTCTTCTGAAACATCTAAACTGAGTTCTAAAAGCGCAAAAGAAAGAAGAAACAGAAGAAAGAAAAAAAATCAAAAGCTCTCCGGTGGGGAAGAAAAGGGAGATGATGAGAAATTGTCCAACTCGGATTCAGAAGAGAGTATCAGGAGAAGAAATTCCCACCTTGGTGTTGAAGGCCACAGGCGAGCCCGAGAAAAGAGATTGTCTACCCCTAATCAGGTACCACTGACATTATCAAATGCATGTCACCAGAGTTAGGATCATGGAGCAGAAAGCTCTATTCTGAGGGAAGGGACCTCAGGAGAGGAGAGTGAGTGACCTCATTGGTATGTTTTTAAGTGGTTGCTGGGCATTTATGGGAAGAATATGGATGTACATAGTTTTCCAGTTAGTCTGTAAGGAGCTTATAGTTTTGGAATTGTCATATCTTCTCCAATAAACACATGTTCAACACAACATATTAGGGAGAACTGTTGTAGAAGTGAAAAAAGTACACTATAGATTAACTTTTACATTTTTATTCGGTCTGTAATGCCTATATTGCTTATAAACTAATCTCAGACTAGTATTTGCTCATTTCTTCCCCACTGTAGGTAACATATCACCCAAATATTAGTCATCTAAGTTGGAAAGACACTAACATCTAGTGCCATAGGCTGTTATTTCTGCTCCTGTGGAATTTATCTCTCCCTTTTTTCTTTTTCCGCTGCAACCTCCATATTTCAGGTCTCTCTGCCTGCAAATCTCCAAGATAAACCATTGCATCAATTCTCTTTGACATTTTTATTTTCCATTGTACAATGTCTCCAAATAATTTTTTTAAATCAAAGCTGTCCCTTTTCAAATAAAGAAAAGACTCTGTTGAGTAACTACTGCCTAGCTTTTATTTTCCATTGTACAATGTCTCCAAATAATTTTTCTAAATCAAAGCTGTCCCTCTGCTGAAATCGAATAAAGAAGAAACTTTGTTGAGTAACTACTGCCTAGAGAACAACACCCACATGTTGTTCAGCCTCATCTCCTACCTTTCTGTACTGTGCCTGCAGGTACACTGAGTTCACCATGCTTGTCCGCTCTCACTACATGCCCTGTACTTTATGCCTGTAACTTAGCGCACGTAGTTTTCTCTAAGTGGGATAATTTTCTTCCATGTTTTCCCTCTGGCATAGTGCTACCTGTTCTCCACCCATTAGTTAGGTGCCACCCATCCCCCAAGTTCCCCTTTGTCCTCCCCACTGCCCTCAATCAGTTTTTCAGTGCCCCACTCACACTGACAATTCTTCTCTTCTATGTCTTCACTTCAGTTTCCTAGCTTCTAAGAGTTAAGTCTGCAAGACCCTGTCAGATATGCATAGGAACAAAAGATACAGTCCCAGCCTTAAGACCTTGTTATATGCATTTTTTTCTATTGCTCACTATGCCTGCCGCTTTGTCCTTTACATAGTAAAAACTGACGTTTATTGAATTAGATACTTCCAAAGAATATGCATTCAGTTTGGTTTACAGACACATAAAACTGAATGTTTATCCTGGACACGAGTCATATAAATGTGACTTTTCCCTCTTTGGTATCGGGCAACTTCTTTTCCAAGATCTAATATTTTATGATTTTGTAAACTTACTAGTATTAAAAGGTTTTTCTTAAAATGCCTTAACTGAGCTGTCAATATGTAAGGTAGAGTTCCAAGCAATGCAATGCAAAGAAGCATACAGCTTATAAATAAATCAGGAGAGTTTAATACTTAAGAGCTTTAGGAGTGATAGATGACAATCTAAATAGCAGGTATCAATATCAAATTATTTTTTGAAGTAATCTGTCCTTTAGAACAAAATGAATGGCTTAGAGAAAAGAGATTGTCTACCCCAGGTCACTCCAGGCCACTCCAGGCCAGAATAGGAAAGAGCTGTGCAGCAGAAGGTAATTTTCCTGATTCTGAAAGGATGGATTCTTCCAGCCTTTCTGTCCCTTGGTTGGAAGAAGTTGTCTTCTTGCTTAATCGCTTTGTTTTGAAATATGTCTCTTTTCCAACAAGGTCGAGCCACTGGCCCTCAGGTCAGTGGTCTCGATGGTAATTATGTGAAATGTACTTCTGTTTTAGGTGCTTCCGCAGATACATGTCTTCTTTTCTTTTTTCTGCAGTCACCGCTGAGCTTCCATGGCTCCTTGTTTTTTCAAAGGCGCAGCAGCAGAACAAGTCTTTTTAGTATCAGGGGTCGAGGAAAAGATATTACGTCTGAGAATGAATTTGCCGATGATGAGCACAGCATTTTCGAAGGCAATGAGAGCAGAAGGGACTCCTTGTTCGTGCCCCACCCACCTCGGGAGCGGCGCAGCAGCAGCATCAGTCAAGCCAGTAGGTCCCCCCCAATGCTGCCGGTGAACGGGAAGATGAACAGTGCGGTGGACTGCAACGGTGTGGTCTCCCTGGTTGATGGACCCTCAGCCCTCATGCTCCCCAATGGACAGCTTCTGCCAGAGGTGATAATAGATAAGGCAACTTCTGATGACAGCGTAAGGATGTTTTAAATAGCTCAGGCATGGCTCGGCCCTGGTCTTGCATCAGTCAGTCTTTTCTGCTGGAGGGGCCTTCTCTGTCCTGTGAATGGCTCTGCATTTTGCAATACTTTGTAGAAACACACCTTTCACTCATTAACTTAATCCTTTTACTATGTGCTATGGGCATATAACTCAAAGATATTTAAAACCCCATTTTTAAAAGTTGAGGTAAAATTGATATTTATTAACATTAGTTTCAGGTGCACAGCATAATGATTGACTGACTATAAAACCCCCATTTTTGAAAAAGGTGCTTACCTATTACTATTACACTTGAAGATTATAAATCATGCCTTTATAAAACAATTTATAAATGATATATGACAGCATAGAAAATGCAATGATAATGCTGATCATCTTAGTTGATAAGTCTCATTTTTGTAAGGAAATTTGGAGTATTTGCTACCTTCTGCTATCTTTTTCAAGTTACTACTTAATATGTATTATACCTTAATGCAAGGGACCTTTTTTGAGTTGTTAATAATAGTAATAAGAATAGCAAACATGAGCTTAGTATTCACAACAGCCCTATGAGGTGATGGTATTGTCCCTGTTTGACAAAGGGGAACTGAGGCACAGAGAAATGAAGCTAATAAATGGTAGTCGAGAAGTTCAAACAGAGACCCTCTGTTTCAGAGCTTGTGCTCTAAACCACCACAGTGTGTGTAACATAGAAATGATTTAGAACAGCTATGCTTTTTTCCCACACATAAATGAAATTTACTGTTTTCAATTAAAAAAAAACTCCTTGATCAGAAGAATAAAAATATGACATCAGAACACACATTAATACAAACACACACATAAAAAGAAAACCAAGCAACAATGTCTGGAGTTTAGTAATCACTGAGTGGTTAAAGGGTCTGATTAGGTTTGAAAGTGAGCTCTCTGTAGTTTCTGGAGTTTCCGGGTTACCTCTCTATGCCACGCACTGCCTTACTTACATCAGCAAGGTCTTTGACTAACCTAACAAGCTTTGAACTCATGCTACTTATTCATGTATTCCTATTTGCAGACAAGGTAGCATTTCAAGTGAGAATCTAGTTCCATCAAAGCCATGGCCACACACATTGCAGTTTGAATGAATGCATGTGCTTTTAGGTCACATGTGACCTCTGTGCTGCATGACACAGCTTCGGGCCCTCTGTCAGGGCAGTTTTCCTTATCAAATAGCATGTTCAATTTCTGTGGAAGCAGAGCCTTGTTGAGTTTTGCTTTTTGATGTATATTATCTGTAAAAGATTTGATCCGTTTTGGAGATCATTTCATGTTTTTAAATGAAATGTTTTCATTTCATTTGAATTGTTGACTAAACAATTGAAATTGTTCATTTCAATTGTTGATGAAACAAATTCTTGTCCTGACTTGGGGAAAAGGAAGTCTCTACTTCTGGAAAGTCAAAAGGTGGAGACTATCAGAGAAAACATGGTGATGGAGAGATCTCTATGAAAAGCCACCTGTAAATATGTATATGTCTGTGAACATGCATATACTTATACATACATACATACACACATGGGCATATTTATGCCTGTTTGTCTATATTTTGATATACATATATATGTATCTAAACAACTCTACAAATTTACAATACTAGAACTATACATAGATGTTTGTAAATGGGGTGTGTGTGTATATACACATATATACATAACACACAAACAGATAGATTGATAGAGGAATTGAGTGATGATAAATGGAGAGTTGTATAGCTGTTTGTATATATGTATGTGTGTGAGCATGTGTGTTTGTATTGTTATCCTGCTCTGAACCGGCATAGTGTTTTAACTTTGAATTAGTTGCCGAGATTGAGAAATAAGGTATTCCACATAAAGATGAGTATACCTGGTAAAACTGAGCTCATATTCCTGCATGGCAGCAATCCTTTGAACTAAACAGTGGTCACCACTTTTAGATGGAGCTTACATTCTCTATTTTGCTACAGTTCCCATCAGTCTTAATTGTCCTCCTCACACTGAGTAATTTATCATCATATACTCGGATGAGCTCTTCCTTGGCAATAAAAAACAATCATTACAGTCGCCTCCATTAATGCTGTTACCTCAACAAAGAATAGTTAAAGAGATTTATCAGAGAATACTGAGATTCTACCCCCTTTACCCCCCCCCCCCCCGACCAAGAACACTTGTTTTGGGCTGTTTTCATGTAAGACTCTTCTTACATGGTAAAACTACCTGAATTCATTGGAGACCAGAGAGATAGAGATGGTAATAGTAATATAACAATAAAAGCAGCTTATTTAATTTTTTTTATTTTCTAAGTTAATTTCTTTATTCCTCAAGCAAGAATGTAAGGCAAGTACTATGATTATCCCCATTTTACTAATGATGAAACTGAGACAGAGAAAGGTCAAATAATTCTCCTGTGATGCAGCCAGTAAGTAGCAGAGCCAGGATTTAGCAGAGCAATCTTGTGTCTACTTTTAATCATTCATTACAGCTACGTAAGCAAGATTTTATTTCATGCCTATAATTTATTAGAATTCTATATTTTAAACTTTAATTAATCATATTTTAGGGTACAACCAACCAAATACACAAAAAACGACGTTCCAGTTCTTATCTCCTTTCTGAAGAGATGATGAATGATCCCCATCTCAGACAAAGAGCTATGAGTAGAGCAAGCATACTGACAAACACTGTGGAAGGTAGGTAATAATATTCTCTTTAGTATACAGATTTTCAAGTGAAATTCAAATACATCCTGGTCAGTACATGAAGTTCTTCGGAAGAATTCAAAGAATTTAAAGTGGTTATAAGCAATGGAAAAATAACCAATGGTCACTAATGGGATCATTTTTATGTGCTTAAAATGGATATAATTATTTGTGATTAAAGACAGGCATTGAATGATACAAGCTTTCAAAGATAAATAGCTTAATGGTAATTAATGAAGAATCTAGGTTAACCTAAAGCTGTGTGGTTCTCCCATTATGTAATCTTAGAAACTTGACCTACTCTCTCTGGTTTATCATCCCTCTAAAAAAAATGATACATACTTCAAAATGTAGATAAATTCTGCCTCTGAGCACATTCTATAAAATTGTAAAATGTTAACATGTGCCATGACATCTCTTAAAATTAGGGTGAAAAGGCTCTAGAAAAAGCAGGTTAGAGAATATAATGTCAATAATAGTGGTTAAACTCTCATATGCATTCGAAGGGAGTCAAAAGGTGACAACTTTTATAATGTGCTGGCTCCCATTTTCTCCCCCCAAAATATGCTCCAGATCCTACCTTTTCCAAAGGTTACAACCTCACTGACAAAGTTTCCACCCACCTCCTAAATTTAAGGTGAGAAGCCAGTGGACTAAATGGTATGAAATATCAATTATATGAGTCACTCCATAAATTATTTCCAGTCTCCTTGTTCTGGGATTGTTTTCACCTGTGAACTAGCAAGAGCTTTTCCTGGAGACAGTATAATTATCCTATTGTTTTCATGGGATTAAGGATACAGGGGGAAGTAGGTATATCGGTGGAAAATATATATTTTCCCTTAAAAAAACATTGGTTGCCTTGTTTATCATCACATATTAGATACATGTTTCTCTGAGAGATGCTGTATCGGTTTTCAGTCACTAAATTCACTGCCTTCCCCTCACTTAGGCTTGGTCTAGTAAATGAACATCTGATGGGGTTATTACATTTTTCTAAAATAATATTACATTATTACATCTTTATGTAATAATGCTATGTAATGTTACATTTTATGTAATAATACTATGATTTCATGGAATCAGTACTGTTAAATTTTCAAAGTCTACACCAGAAGACTTGTTTCAGTGTGGAAGAGTACTGCTGATTTATTTAGGAATAAAACATACAAATGATTGACTTCATGCTCTCTTGCTTTGTTCCTCCCAGAACTTGAAGAGTCCAGACAAAAATGTCCACCTTGGTGGTACAGATTTGCATACACATTCCTGATCTGGAATTGCTCTCCATTCTGGATAAAATTTAAAAAGCTTATGTATGTTATTGTAATGGATCCATTTGTAGATCTTACAATTACCATTTGCATAGTTTTAAACACGTTGTTCATGGCGATGGAGCATCACCCAATGACTGAAGAATTCAAAAATGTGCTCACTGTGGGAAATTTGGTGAGTCACTTGAAATCATTTCTTTTTTATTCTTTAAGTTAAAAGGATACACAACTAGGTAATTATGCAAAATTCAGAATTCACAATATGAATCATTGTAGAAAGTCAAGTTTCTGGTGAGAGATATTATTGTTAAATAATTTTGCAGTAGTGTTGAGGTCTATAAATAACACTATTTTCATAAAGAGTCACCATTTTTGGAGTTGTTAGTGGGTTGTTTTTTCTGTCGGTATGTGTCTTGGAATTAATACTATGAAAATTTGATACTTTCTTACCCATTTCATAATAACATTACAACTTCCTTGAAAGTACATACCCCACATATTTTCAGAAAAACTATGGATGCTTTGTTTTGATATAATAGGTGAAGTGTCTGGGCCTTTAGAATCCCAAAATATTGGATTGAATGCTGATTTTTGCCTCTTATTGGTTATATGACCTTGTACAAATATGTTAATCTCTATAATCTTTTATTTTCTCATTTGTAGAATATAATACCTCATTTATAAAATAATACTATTTCTTCATTTATAATGTAATGATGATAATACTTCATTTATCACATTGTTGGGTGCTGGGGTCCAGCCTCAAGCAGCCAGGGTGGATCGGCTTCCAGCAGTTGGGTTAGGATTAAACTTTCTACTTAATTTATTAGCCTGGCATACAGTAAGTACTCAGCAAATTAAACCTGTGGTTACTATCATCATCATTATCATCATCATGTTTTAAATCAATCAGCAGAAACAAGCCTTAGGTGCAAGAATACTGTGGAACCAAAATGGTTGAACTGGACACAGGAGACAAGCGAGAGGGTGACCTGTAGGTTTCAGGAAGGTATAGGATCCGATTGGGAAAATCAATGCTAAATGATCTTTTAAATGTGCAGTGTTGGTTTTACTCTAGCTTAATTAACGCCTTATTGCAAACAAACAACAACAAAAACTACTTCCTGACAATCTGCATGAAGTACTCTAGCTTAATTAACGCCTTATTGCAAACAAACAAACAAACAACAACAACAAAAAAAACTACTTTCTGACAATCTGCATGAAACAGGAAGAGGTTCTATTTCACAGCCAAAGGGTCCCAATTTATGATTCTTCATTAATATGAATCATTCTGGATGCCTTTGTGAACATCTGTATCAGGGAATTTCGCTTTAGCCTTCGTTCTAAACCTGATGATCTTTAAAGCCAACGAGTGTTTCAGTCTTCTCTTCCAAATTGCTTACAGATTTTTGTAGTCAGAATGTTTGTACCCCATTTGCTCTCTGAGTTAGCATTCTTCTTCCCTTTAATTACCCTTTAGAAAAAGACAGGATTACCTAGTTTCTAATTGTTGGAGGTTCACATCATGAAAATCAATACCTTCTTATTGAGTTGACTGCACCACTGTGAACACAAAAAGCATTTACTATGTTTCTTATCTATTAGCACAGTCCCAAGTCTGAGTGCCCCTGACTTTCTTCTTGATGCTGCATTATTTTGGAATTGACTCATGTAGTTATAGACCTAACCATTTCCCTTTGAAATTTCTTTGGTCAGTTTCTTTGAGTCAAATTATGCCTTGTTTATGAATGATGCATGAACAAGTCTTTCACTATTGCCTTTTTAAGTGAGTCCTTTGATACCAGTGTCATGAATTAATGATGTTTTGTGATGCACTTTTGTGTTAAAGCTTTGAAAGTCTTGCTTTAGCTGCCACTGTGTCAATTAAACACTTTTCCTTCTTCTATCAATAAATCTTTAAAGAGTGAGTCAACATATTTTTTATTACTCTAAGAGTAGTCAGACCAGCAAAAAAGACTGGCTCAGAATCTCAGTATCAATGTTTTCTTTTTATTTTCTTCCAGAATAACTTGTTGACCATATAAATTTTTTGCAAAGAGTGCCTGTTAGTTGTCGAAAGTTTTATTTATCTGGAATTTTAACATGCTTTTCTAAAGTGCTACCTAAGGATAATGAGAGCTGACAGGAGAGTTAGCACTTTTTACCCCTTCAATGTTTGCATTAGAACTGGAGGAATCATACCTCATTAATAGGATTAAATGAGATAATAACATACATTTGTAAAGTAGCACACTGACAAAGGCACAGTAAATGCTAAAGAAAGTATCATCATTATGTTGATTCCATACCTTCTAATAATACCATAAAAACATTATATTTTTTCACTTAGGTCTTTACTGGGATTTTTGCAGCTGAAATGGTTTTAAAACTAATCGCCATGGATCCATATGAGTATTTCCAAGTAGGATGGAATATTTTTGACAGCATTATTGTGACTTTAAGTTTAGTAGAGCTTTTTCTATCAGATGTGGATGGCTTGTCAGTTCTTCGATCATTCAGACTGGTAAATATAGACCAACCTTACCTTATATTCTGTATTTAAAAAGATGTTTCTTTGTTTCTGGATTAATATTATTTATAAACTTTGGAGGTTTGACTCAAAAGAAAAGATTAAGTCCTGATATCTAATAAAATAAAATTCATTCAGTAACTAATGTACTTTAGGAGTTCAAAGCCACATGGATATTTAATTTTAGGATCTTGAAGATATAGTCAGTTGTATATACTAATATAATAAAAAATATTTTGAGTTATATTATACTAGTATAATAGAAAATATATCTTTATTCTGTAGGACAGTATTTATTTCCTGGTAAAAAGCTTCTGGTTTAAAGAATTTCAGCCATTATAATATATTCAATACTTTGTGGATTTTATAATTAAAAATTAAGTAATTGTTCCCCAAACAATTGTTGTCTAATAACAAGAATACAAAAAAAAGTAAAGACTTTTTAAAGCTTTATTCTCTAACAGTTTGGACTTTATCCCCATGTCTGCATTAAAATTTTATGAAAAGTATCAGAAAATAGAATTAAGGATTAATAAATTATTAACTCTATATCCGAAACCATGTAAAGAGACATTCATAGCAATCTTGAACTAAAATTACACACTTTCTTAAAAGCATATGGTCATTATATTGGAGCAAGTATAACAAAACAACAGAAATACTGTAAATAGATGAAAGTTAAAAATACAAATAATTAATTTTTTGCTAGGTAATGACAGTATTTTAGAACTTAATATTTGGAATAAAATTCAAGCTTGGAAACATTAAAACTTGGCATAATAATTAATATTATGCTTTGTGTTTGCTTTTAGCTCCGAGTTTTCAAATTGGCAAAATCTTGGCCAACACTGAACATGCTGATAAAGATCATTGGTAATTCAGTGGGGGCCCTGGGAAACCTCACCTTGGTGTTGGCCATCATTGTCTTCATTTTTGCTGTGGTCGGCATGCAGCTCTTTGGTAAAAACTATAAAGAATGTGTCTGCAAAATCAATGAAGACTGTACACTCCCACGTTGGCACATGAATGACTTCTTCCATTCCTTCCTGATTGTGTTCCGCGTGCTGTGTGGAGAGTGGATAGAGACCATGTGGGACTGCATGGAGGTCGCTGGTCAAGCCATGTGCCTTATTGTTTACATGATGGTCATGGTCATTGGAAACCTAGTGGTATGTACTCAGAAGTTCACACATTTAAAATTCTCCACAGAAAATTGTTACATGAGGATATGACAAGTTATTTTATAATTTAGAATTAATTAGAACTAAAACTATTAATTGTAATAGAACGTTGATTATTTCAATATAGGAATAACAGGAAAGACAATAAAATATTGTCTTAATTTTCCTGCCAGCTAACCATACTTATTTTTGGTTACAAGATTTCTCTAATGAAAGATGACAGAAGCATAATTTACAAAGTTGATTACTAACCAATATAGTATACACATTTTCAGCCCTCTGTGAGAATCCTTATTTTTTACAATTTTGAGTTCACCTAGACCCTACCTCAGTGAAGAACAACAGAAATGGTTTTGCACACAAACAGGATTTTTCTTCAGGGATAATTGTCCTGGCCTCTTTTAGATCATCTCCTAGGGCCAAAATGATTGGCATTGAAGCCATCCAGATCCTAATGCCATTATCTCATTTGAATTGGGTTCAATGGGCAAACCCTTTTCTCTGCTTTAAAAGCTTCATTAAGTTGCAAGCTGGCACAATTCTTGGACAGAATATTTTATTACAGGAGGTCTGCAAGTATGACATGTTCCATTTGTTGCAACAAGTAACATTTATCTTCTGGGAAAAGTGAGTAGGCCTAAGTTACTTCGGCACAATAGTCAGTAGTCACAGTTTTCTTGTTCTACTTGTTTCTCACTGGTAACATATATTAATTACAGGAAAACATTAACGGGGCTTATTAGGTCCATAAAAGGAAATTTGACCGAGGGCTTCCTGCTGCAGGAATGAACTTCAGAGTGAAAATGATATTGGTAAAGGGAGTGCTCTTTGCACTGTAGGCTAGTCTAGTCCTTCAAGAGTATGGCTGAGCTCCCAGAGTTCATAGGAGCTGGTCTAAGGAGAGATTATTGAGGAGTCTCACCTCTCATCTCCCCCTCTCACATGTTCTTGTCTATGAGTGGAGAAGTGCAGGGTTCTTCATTGCTGGGGTGGATTTTTACCTTTATTTCAGAAAAGTGTACTTAATATTCTTTTTTTCATGTCTCCCGCTTTTTCCACCCCGACCCTGATATAGGTCCTCAACCTATTTCTGGCTTTATTATTGAGCTCATTTAGTTCAGACAATCTTACAGCAAGTGACGAGGAAACTGATGTAAACAACCTGCAGATAGCAGTGGCCAGAATTAAGAAGGGAATAAATTACATGAAACAGAGCTTACGTGAATTTATTCTAATGACATTTTCCAAAAGGCCAAAGATTTCCAAAGAGACACGACAAGCAGGAGATCTAAATAGCAAGAAGGAAAACGATATCTCTAACCGTACACTTGCTGAAATGAACAAAGATCACGATTTCCACAAGGAAAAAGATAAAATAAGTGGTATTGGGAGGAACACGGACAAATACTTGATGGGAGAAAGTGATTTTCATTCATTTATTGATAATCCCAGCCTCACAGTGACTGTGCCAATTGCAACTGGAGAATCTGATTTGGAGATTATGAACACTGAGGAACTTAGCAGTGATTCAGATAGTGAATACAGCAAAGGGGTAAGATTGTTTTATACACATTATGTTTCATATTATTAATTCGTGTTAAATGAATCAAAATTTCAGATTTTTGTGTTATAAATTCTTCCTCATATTTCATTCTGAAGGGTAGTTTTTGTGTGTGCGAGTTTACAAAGCAGCTTCCTGAAGGTGTATCTGGTAAGGTTTTGCTTAGTGGTTCATAATTATTGATTTGAAAGTACCAGGTATCTTTAAATCTTACCTTCCTTCAACCCTAGTTCACTACCAGTTATAAAGTCATAGAGTTTTCTTCCACAGCAGGGGTCCTCAAACTACGGCCCGCGGGCCACATGCAAATACAAATATTGTATTTGTTCCCGTTTTGTTTTTTTACTTCAAAATAAGATATGTGCAGTGTGCATAGGAATTTGTTCGTAGTTTTTTTTTAAAACTATAGTCTGGCCCTCCAACGGTCTGAGGGACAGTGAACTGGCCCCCTGTTTAAAAAGTTTGAGGACCCCTGTTCCACAGTGTCCCTTGAATCACTGCTCCTCTCCATCACCTTTGCCTTTGAACTCACTATTTCTTGCCAAAACCATTCCAAGTAGAGTCCCTTCTGGTGTCTCTGCCTCCCATTTTTCCTAGTCGAATGATTTGGTTAGTTTTACTGAGGTTCAGTCCTAATCATGTCACTCCGGTGAAGTATCCTTAGTCCCCAGTCTCCTGCACACATCTTTAAAGACATAGCCTTCAGCTTCCCCATCAGTAAAAGTATTAGTCCTTACATTGTAGGGATGATGTGGGTTAAATGAATTAATGCATATAAAATGCTTAGAAAGTATTCAGAATTACATATTTCTGATTTCTCCCCAAGAAGCTGTGATCTCTCCTCATTTTGAACCCCACACAATATTATGCTTCTTTCTGTTTTTACTATTTACTCTTGTATTTTAATTTTTTTGAGAAATGATTGCATGCATCAAAGACTACTATAAACTTATTGAGAACAGGAATCTCTAATTAAAACTTTTTGCATCATCCTTCCCTACACCTGGTTGCATATATTCAAAGTATTATTGAGCTATTTTTATTAATATGAAATATAATAATCATAAGTTATTTTATGACATTTAAGGGCATCTGTTTAAACTTTTAAAATATCATTTTAATATTTTTCCTTTCTTTAGATCACATTTGAAAGTATTTGACAGGTATTTACCAAGTGCCTTCTATCTGCTTAACCCTATATTAAACTTGACCTCCATAAATTTATAGTGGATTTTGCAATAAAGATACACGTGTGTGTGTGTGTGTGTGTGTGTGTGTGTGTACTGGCCATATGACCAGTACTAGGTGCATAGTAAATGCTCGATACTTATTGAGTGAATAGATAATTAAATAAATTAGGAATGTATGTTTCTAAGTAGTCAAATAAATTATTTCCAGGGTATCAAAGTAAGAAATAAAATATTTTCTTTTTCTTTTTTTTCTTTTTTTAAATGTTTTAATTTTTTAAATTTCTTTATTGATTAAGGTATTACATATGTGTCCTCATCCCCCAATATTTTATTTTTAAAACCTTCCATAGGAGAAGTGATATCTCCAAAGTTCAAAAGGTGTGGATTTTTGTGTTTATTATTGAATTCATTACCATCTAAAAGAAGTTCATTTAAAATTATTGACTTTGAAGTTTGGTCTTTATGAAACATTTTCTATGACATTTCTCAGAGTGTGTCATCTTGTGTACATTCAAACCTACTTGACTATACGCTGGACTTGAGAAATAATGAAAGTTCAAGATTTATAGGAAATAGCTTAGATATAATATTAAGTGGTCATCAACTGGGAAACCCTATGTCTAGAGTGTCTCTCCAATTGCTTGAGATTTAAATGTTTCTATGTACCACTTGGTTTTGGTTTCCTTTCTCAATTTGAACCACTAAACAATGCTGATTTCCTTTATCTAAAGTGTTTCTCTTACCCTTCCTTGTTAACTCCTCTGCTCTAATTCCCCTAATCTTCAACTCCCACCTGAGTTGCCAGATGTTTTAACTGCTATTCCCTCCGTATAACTTTTTTATATTTTCATGTCTGAGATATCTTGGAAATAGTGATTGCCATTTTCTTGATGAACCTTGCCCAAGAAACAAATCTTAATTACCCAGCAAAAATTAATGCCTGATTCTATATAAGTAGGTTATTTAAGTCTTAAGCACTACCTTGAGGTATGGTTAGAATACTTGCCCTAAGTCCTAGCTTTGATATTTACTAACTCTATGATCTTGAGAATTTCAAACCTCTCCCTTTTTTTGTTTCTTCATATACAAATTAAAATTGTAATGAAGATTAAGGAATGTATGTTAATAATTATAAAAGTTGCTGTTGGAGAGTAAGTGCCCAATTAATAATTATTATGGGTATGAAATTGAGTAGGCATGTACACACTATAAGGAACTATTTGCTACTGATTAAATTTAAGAGAGGTAGGATGATATAGATCTGTGGTTCACAATTTTAGTGTGTAAAGACACACAGGGAGCTTGTTACAAATGCCTGTCCTGGGACATGTTAACTAAAGAAGAAGTTTACAATAAGCATTAATTTGAGCAAAAAGGAATGCAATCCTGTAGGCACAGATTCAGGTAGCAATCCAAATTGCACTCCGAAGAGAACAAAGAAAGGCGGGGTTTTTAAAGAAAAAAACAAGTGCAGTTTCCATTTAGGTCCCCCATCTAAATGAAGGATTGCTGGCAAGGTTAATCGGGATTGGTTAGTTCCAATATGCAAATGAGGTTGGCAGAAACTACCAAGAGGAAGTTAAGTCCAGGCAGCAGTTGCTTTTCCAGGCGGTTATGGCTTGGCCTTGAGCTGAGTTTAGCAACTCAGTAGCAGTTCTGAGAATTGACACATGAGATATGCATAGGCCCCACTTCCTCAGTGACTACCCAACTCTATTTTAAGTGACTTTCTTAGCAATGCTTAACTCCATTTTATTTCCTCCATTATCAGCCACATCCTTTAAATTCTCCCTGCCGTAAGTTGGGATGCCACCTCAGCACCTTATCCTTATCTGCAGTGTTCCCAGTGGCCACTGTGCTGGATTGAATTGCCATAGGAAATGAACCTAAATTCACCCCTGGCTTCTTTTGATCCAGGCTTTTGAGATATCATTATCTTTATTCAGTGACTGCTTAAGAATCTGCATTTTTTGCCCTTGCCATTTTGGCTCAGTGGACAGAGCGTCAGCCTGAGGACTGAAGAGTCCGGGGTTCAATTCCAGTTAAGGGCACATGCCCAGGTTGTGGCTCGATCCCCAGTAGGGGACGTGCAGGAGGCAGCCAATCAATGATTCTCTCTAATCATTGATGTTGCTATCTCTCTCTTCCTCTTCCTTCCTCTCTGAAATTAATAAAAATATATTTTAAAAAAAGAATCTGCATTTTAGCCCAGACGGTATGATTCAGTGGTTGAGTGTCACCCCATGAACCAGGAGGTCATGGTTGGATTCCCTATTAGGGCACATGCCCCGATTTCCAGCTCCATGTCCGGTAGGGGTCATGCAGGAGCAGCCAGTCAATGATTCTCTCTCATCATTGATGTTTCTATCTGTCTCCTTCTCCCTTCCTTTCTCTGAAATCAATAAAAACATATTTTTTTAAAGAATATGCATTTTGAACATTTTGAACAGGGGGAAAGAACATTTTTGACCTTTGATAACTTTCTCTCTTTCCCCCTCCACATTAAAAAACAAAACAAGACAAACAAAACCCTGTCTTTTATGACCAAGTGCCCTATTTTCCCAATATATTGAATGAAGAATATTCCATCCTCTTCTAGTATCAGCTCTCAGATAGGCAGGTTCCCTTGTCCCAACAGTTAAATGTACACTCCAGAATGAGGTAAAATAGCTATATATATGAAAGGCTAATATGCTGTGTCCCTCCCACCTTCCGACTGGTTGTATGATGCACACTGACCACCAGGAGGCAGATGCTCAATGCAGGAGCTTCCCTGACGCACACTGGCCATTTACAGAAAAACGGCACTGCGGACCTGGCACCCACAAAGCAGCACTCGGCTTCCCCCAAGTGGGACACAAGCCCTGCCACCACTCCAGAGTGACAGCCCACCAAATCACAGGCAACGCTGCCCAGACCCATAGCGCAAAATGTGGCCCACAGCCTCCCTAGCCCAACCTAGAAATGGTTGCTGTGGGCGCTGGGTAATGATGTGACATAGCAACATCCGGCTTCCTCTCCCTAACGAATAGCCTCCTTGCAGTTTCTTCAGCCCAGGAACACGACTTGCTTTATAGCCAGGTGGAAACATTTACACTTTAACCAAATGGCTGTGAAATGTTTTCCCCTGCCTCATCTCAGTTGATCCTCACAGAAGTCCTGGAGTAGGTAGATAGGAGACTTGGTGGAATCCTATTTTCTTTTCATTAGCTGGAAAACAGAGATTTAGAAAGCTTAGAAACTTGACCCAACTGAAAAGAAGTAAGAAATGGTGGACCTTGAAAATGACTTCAGGTTTTCTCACTGTGCAGAATATAGTCAAACACTGCTGCAGTTAAATATTTTATCCTTTGTTCTCCCTGTGTGATCTACAATAATAATCTGCTTCATGTTGATATTTATTGCTGTGTTGCTGACAGTTACCTGAAAGAGAAGTTAGGGTGCTTCACTGGGCTAGAAAAAGTTTAGCTAAATCAGAAAGCAGGTCTAATTAAGAAAGTTTATTCTATATCTATAAAGGGCTCAGTTGACTTGTGCATGCACAATACATATAAAGCTCTTGCTGGTGCCAATAGCACACATGTGTTTTGATCTGTCATTGTTGATCATGAATTTGGTTGACTCTTCGATTATAGAGAAAGTGTGAATAGCAATATTAAAATATTTCTTCTAATTATTTTCCTTTCAATGTGCACAAATTCATGCACTGGGCCACTAGTTTTATAATAAAACACCTTACCAGAAAATGACCCCAAGTACGAGTTCAAATAAAGTGCCAAATAAAATATCTTAAACAGTTGT